TATATATATAAAAGAATGGCGAGGTCAAGCTGGTACGCTAGGGTTTCGCCCAATGGTGATTCCCTGGCTTGACATCGTGCTCGAAGACAAAGCCTCCTGCGACCGTCGACTCCTCCAACGCTGTCGTCACGTCTCGCTCTGCTTCTGGGGCCGTCGAGCTGCGAGCCGCGTCGAGCTGCGACTGACTGTCTCATCTTCGTCGTCTCGTCACTTATGCCTGGTCATCGAGCTGCGCTCGGGCTGCTAGCCGCGTCAGGTCGTCTCGTCGTGGTTTCCTCTCGCTTTCATTCGCTGCAACTGTTCCGCGACCTGCCTCATCGAGCTGCGACTGTTCTGCGGATTTGACAACTACAATTTTTCGCCCCCGACCTTTCGGCTCGCTATTTTTGCCGCTGCCCGACTTTGGCAGGGCTTCTCTTGCTGTGATGGAGCATCCTTCGTCTACGTATGAACCTGGCAAAGTCTTCTTTGCCCACGTGGTGGGTAATTCTCAGAGGGCGACGACGGTTGTCTTCTCCTCAAGTTATAAGGAGCAACGGGAAGGTGATTGCCCCTCTATCAAGATTGCAAGCAGGAAAAGTGGGAAAGCATCACTTTTTTTTCTGAGCTAGAAATTTCATCCCTTAGTGATAAATTCAAGTTTGCTTTTATGGAAAAATTTCAGTGGGGACACCCACCTATGGAAGTTATCAGGAAAAGTTTTAGAGTTATCAGGAAAAGTTTTGATGATCTCAAATTAGCAGAAAAGTGGAAAGTACGGCTCATAGATGGGAGACACGTATTAATTCAACTAAACGTGCCTGAAGACTACACTGAGATTTTTTACAAAAAATATCTCAACATTATTGGTAAACCAATGAAGCTACTCAAGTGGTCTCCTGATTTTGACCCCAAGCGCGAATCTCCTACTGTACCGGTATAGTTTAGTCTACCTAATCTCAAGCTGCACGTTTTTCATCATCAGATTTTTTACTCTATTGTTGTCATACTTGGGGACCTTTTGAAGCTAGATCTATCCACTTTTAACCTAACCAGATCTTCTGTGGCCAGAATACTTGTTGAAAGAGATATTACTTTACTTGATGTTACTGAAGTCTGGTTGGGCACAACTCATAATGGATATTGGCAACAAATTGTTATGGAGCACCTACCACCTTATTGTTCTCATTGTATGATGTTTGGGCACAATCTTGATAAATGCTATAAGCTTCATCCTAATTTGAAATCTAAAGATCAAGTGAATAAGAATGAATCCGACCCCACTGCTTTGGATATATTTGTTTCATCTGAAGAGAAAACTACCACAGAACAGGTTATGGTGTCTGAGTTAATCGCCCCTGTGGATCCTCCCCTGGAAAATACTTCTTCTGCAATCGATGAGAAGTTGGATGACCCTGCGGAGAAACCTACACT